ACGTGCCCCGCCGCCCTCCGCCTCGCACCCCGCACCTCGCCTGGCTAACATGAGAACAATCATGTAAAGTGAAATGAAACGGTTATTTGTTATGTTTGCCCCTTTTAGGGAAGCGACGAGATTCGCGGGCTGTTATCGATTCTCGCAATCGCCTCTTGTGCTTTGTCATTGATGTCAATTATATCTCATTTTATTTATTATATATTCGTGTTAATTTGCACTTTGGTCTAATGAAGATTACTTTGTACGTCATTGTACACAATCAATAATAAAATATATTCGTGGTAAACACCCGTAATGGGAATAAGTTAAAATTCATCTTTAAACGCCAGAACCTCAGCTCTTGTGTCAGTGAACCAGTATAACTAATACGTAAACATATATATTTAGCTCATCGCGTAGTCATACATAATCTTATTTTAAATACAAAAAAGTTCACTAAAACACAAAAGCCCAATTAACATTTGCTTCAGTCCTAACAAATCATAAAGGGCGAGCGTTGTATCTTCATTAAATTAAGAATTCATTCTTAACGAAGGTATGAATCTCTGAAATCTCACCACGCGCCGCGCAAAAGCCCGTTACAAAAACAATAACAGCCGCCGTGAAATTTAAAAATAAAAGAATACACCGACGCCTAATTGTTCCCCTGTTCATGAAATTGTAAAGTTATTTGCACTGCGCGAGGGTGGCGATGTTTTATTGTGCAGAAACCGCTGTAAAGATGTTCGACGCACTTTAAAACGAGTAAGAGTGAGTGAGAGAGTAGGAGAGAAGAGCTCTCGCGACGGCTTACCTTCTAATTCGATTAAATTAAACAACTCGAAGTTAATCAAATAAATGCACGAAGGCCACAGGGCGCAGGGCGAGGGGTGAAGGGCGGGGCTCCGGACGCGCGCGCTGTATTTATGTCGGCACTTCTCGAAAGTAATTCAGTGTCAAATATGGAAATAACTCATACGAGCAAGGGCATCCATTTTGATAATGCCGACGGGCGACCGGAGCCGGTTTGATTTACGGGGAGCATCGCGCCCGCCCGCCTTTCTCGACACACGCGTGCCTACGCAGCTACGCTTCGTAGGTATTTGCTACGACTAACTCTATAACTACATTGTTAGTTGCCAAATTCTTGCATCAAAGGCAAATTAGTAAGTTTTATCACAAATTGTTATGAATAATTTAATTTAATTTATTTTCATGTAACATGTTTCCATCGAGTTTGTTATAAATTCTTACAATGGCTGTTTCCGATTAAAATATATCACGATTACATTTTCTCAACATCAATATGATCAAAATAATTAAAATGTAATTTGTAAACTCCGCCTCGTTCATTGTTGCGTCTAATTGAAAACCGAGGTCCAAGGTGAGTAAGTAATTAAATTAATGAATCCTTCCGACGAGACTCTTGAACACCTTAAGTCGGGTAGATTCGCGTTAATTTATTAATTGCCCACTTCACCCAACGGGTGGGCTATAAACAACGGATCTCTCTTAATTTACGAGCAAATTATGCTTTACTTAAATATCAATTTAATTAAGTGCCGTTCGGAAAGAAATCCCGCGGGATTTGCGAGAGACAGACCGCTCGTTTGTTGCCGATCGCATCGGATCAATGCGGTGTCGACTATGAAGTCGCATCGTATAGATTCAATTTATTGCATCTAATTTTTTAGTTTTCTATTTTGAAATTCATTACCACAATTTTATTAAGAATTTAATTTAATTTGTTTTTGCATAATTAACCATGTTTTTAGCCCAGTTAATTTTAGATTTGCTAAGTTGTTTTACTCTCTTTGCTCTGCTCTGTGAACCTCGCACCATGTACAGGTCTCGTCGTGAGCGGCAGCGGGACCCCGCTGGAGCCGTGCCGCGTGGCGCCGTACGTGTCGGTGCCGAGGCTGTCCGGCGTGCCGCGGCCGCAGCCCCCGCAGCTGTCCCTCGCTCCGCACCCCGCGCCGCCCGCCGCCTTCGCCCCGTTCGACTCCGCAATACTATCTGCCGCGGCACATCAGGTACGACTATATTCTAGGTCACCGCTGCGCAAAGATCGGCGGACACCGGTGTGGCACCTGCCTTTATTAAAATGTACGTAATATGTGACGTCAGTACGCGAGTGCGGCTGCTGCGGCGGCGGCGGCGCTGTGTCCGCCATACGCGGGTCTGGCGGCGTTGGCGGCGCGCTGCCGCTCCTCCTCCATCGCTGACCTGCGGCTGAAGGCGCGACGGCACGCGGCGGCGCTCGCGGCCGCCAGCGCGCCCTCCCCGCCCGCACGCCCCCCACACGCCGCTCACCCCGCTCCGCCGCCCCCCGCACCACCGCCGCCCGCCTCCACGCCGGCTGACGCGTAGCCTGATCTACTAAACTTATCAGTGCTCTAAATACTTATTGGACTAAAGACTAAAACTAATACTTTTTCCTATCAAGCGTATTATTATCTGCCATCGGTTTTATTTCCTGTGGCCCAAAACTTTTGTTCAAATGTTTTCACATGACCCGTGTTGGCAGAGACAGGATCTGGTCATGGTCACAGGTTACGAGAATCTATTGGTTGAAAGTAATGAAATCTTCAGTAGACTTTCGTAGATGCCTACGTCTAGTACTGGCAATCTTTTGGCTGGCGAAGAATTTAGTTTCTTACACATTTAACGTTGTTCATGTAGTCCCGGGAAACTATTTACTAGGTGAAAGTAAATAATAATTTAACATGTGTATACCTACAACCTTGTTTTAAAATGTACAAACAACTTATTTTCGTAAGTGCTTCTAAATGCATGAAAATGCAGGAAAAATATTCAAATAATTTAAAATTTACATTTGCGAATGTCTGTCTTACCATATTTTAACATAACAATTGATTATTCAAAAATAATATTTCTTTACAAAAGAGAACAGAAAATAATTTTTAAGTAATAGATTCATCATCGACAACTGTTATGCGCATTTAGTTCATTCTGAGACATATTAAGTAGGTAAACTTTATACGTATACGAAAAAAACTCTAATTACTAATTAAAGAAGCAAATTCGACCAAATACATAAAATTTGTGAAAGTATATTATGTAAATGAAATAACTGTGATAAGTGTGGAAATATCGAAAGAACGGAGACGTTAAAGAAACTTGGTATCTACTACTGTTTTGAAAATACCAATGTGTTTTTATGGCGTATAATTTTAAAAATAAATATTTAAATTTTTAGTAATTAGGTGATGTAAATACGTATAATTATTAGAAAGCACATGTTTAATACACTTAACCAATCACAAACTCGCTGTGTTTATAGCTGTGTAATTTATCTTAATTCTAAGTAATTAAATATTATCAAACGTAAATTGTATTTAATTCTCTCATCAAATACCATAACCTAAAATTGTAACAACGCACATAACCTTAGTTTGCACTGTTAGGAAGAAGATCCGACACTATGCCGGTGTGCTGGCGCATTACTATCCTTACTAAAATGTTGACGTTTATGTCCCTTCACTAATCATTCTGACGCTGGACTTTGTAATGAAAGCGCGCCATTCGCGCAAAAGGATTCTAACTAATAAGGTGTAAAAGTACCCTTAAATTATTTTGTTCGATAACTTACGGATAACTTTATCTTAGAGCCAGAAAGACACACAAAGGTATTTTGTATGTTTTTTTCTGCGCTTTTATGGCTTGAAACTTTATGTGTTAACCAGACCCTGGCGAAGTTATTTGAAGTTGTATTCGAACTGAGGTGAGGAATTTTAAATGATGGTGTTTTAGGATGAAGATATTTAAAATTGTAACGATTGTTTGAAGCACAATGATCGTGCGAGGCGATGACTGTACATTAATCACAACACGATCGGCGGCGGTGGAATTGTTTCTACATTTGCTAGCCTGATTGATGGTGCGCCCCACTGCCCCTTCCCCTCTCCGCACCGCCGGCCCTATTGCATTGTTAATAATCAAATCTCGTACGCTAACACGCCGCTAAATATACAATGAGGGTGAGTTTGTAATAATATATCACTTTATTCACTACTTGCCACTATCCAAATTTTAAAGTAACAATAAACATTTATTTTATTTGATTGTTGTGAAGACGAACTTATCTATTTTCACTTCCAATCCTATTAAGAGCAAATTACAAAGTCTGAAAAGTCTCAAAATAATCATAGTCATGTTAAGTTTTAAATGATTTTAAATATAATAATTAAAAAAAAAAACTGAGCAACTAAATATTGTATACTTCAAGCAAAGATAGAGCATTTTGACCACATCAATGTTACTATTATTCTTAGGAAACGGAATGCACCTTAAATTATTGTTAGGGCCTTTCCAGACAGTCGTGAGGAGAGCGGTATGTTTGTTTGCGCAAGCTGTTAAAAAAGCGTCCGCCCTCGCGCGGGGTGCGTCCAATTAGGGCGGCAACGGAGCTGATTGGGCGTAATCGCGTTAGTATCGGCGACAAACATCCCCTCGCCGCGTCGCAGCCCGGCAGCCTAACAGCCTTGCTGAGCGACGCGACGCGACGTCTCCTCAAACAAACACAACACACATCAATGTATACCCTCACTTAAATTCCTGTACTACGCAATAGAATACTTTATAAAATGTGGATATAAACTTACATAATTTTTATGTTTTTAATGTAAGAATATCTTTCACAAAATGCGAGAAACGTCTATGAAAACAAATTATTAGTTGTTTTTTTTACTTACAAACACAATCACAAATCGCAAGTCCACGTTTTATTTCATGTTACATATCTACTAGTTACAGTCTTGTAAACATATATTTTACTTAAAGATTATATTTTATATGGCGTTGAGGTGTGCAACGCGTCCAATGCGACTAACATTAATGCAACTAATCTGTGATTATGGAAAAGAAAGCAATAGAAATACTTTGTAATCTGCATAAATAATAAATACGTGATACATATCTAATGACACATGCTCCTATGTATTTAAAATAGTGCCTGCTAGTTATTATTCCATTTTCATTATAAACAATCGATTATATATACGCAGTAGTCATCAGTATATATGTTTTAAATATATACATCGAGTCACCGATCTTTGACAATGACTCATAATAAAATTAACATCACGTGGACAATGTTCCCAAAATAATATACGTGAAAATAAAACAGGCGTTAGGCAATATGATAATATTGCACGTTTTGGTATTGCTTTCGATTGGTACATATGTATTGGTCATAACATCGTTTATTAAGGTACAAAATACATTTTTGGGTTTTGGAACCTTCTCTAAGTCAGGAGAAGTCAGTGGTTACTAGGCCGTCAACCACGCTGGTCCAGTGCAGGTAAGTTGACTTCACACATGTCTTTGAATTTCGTAGTAGATAGGTACAGGTTGCGACTCGATGTTTTCCTTAATTGCAAGAACATCGCATAACTTATGTAAATTGAAAATTGAAAAACACATTAGAACCCAGGACCTGCAGATTATAAGTCAAGTGTTTAACCCCTGAGTCACCGCCGGTTTGTGAATGATAAATGTTTAGAATTAATATTGTTGAAGACAAGTAATGCGTAACGCTGTGACTGAGCGGCTTACGTTGCACAAAATACAATACACTCGCGTGTGTACAAACTCGTAACTTCGAGATACACTTCTCCGAATATCGATTGTGATAAATATTGACTACTATTATATTCGAATACTATAACCATTGTTTATAAAACATCATATTAATATTTACTGTTTTGTTATAAATTATAATCGTTAGGTAAGAGTGCAGACAGTGAGATTTGCTTAGTTCAAGCTTAGATGAGAGACAGAGCGGTCGCGATGTTTTTACTAATTGATATACTCCTCAGTGTTATCTCGTATTGTCATTGTTATGGACAAGAGAATCCACATACGTTTTATTATTTCGCGTATGGAAGTAACATGCTGGACAGAAGAATACATTTAAGAAATCCAACTGCAGAATTTTATTCACCGGCTGTACTAAAGGTACGTTCAATTTATTTATGAGTTTTTTAAAAGTTTAATTTATGTTACACGAGTAAAGGGTTATTAAAATTTTGTTTTATCAATGACGCAAAATGGAAAAACTAAAACATTTTAATTAAGGCACGGGCTAAAACATAAAAAATTAGATGTTACGGCTCGACACACAGATTTAAGTTTTAACTTCAGTTCAGAACACAAAGTTCAGTTCACGTATCATCCGAGAAGTACACATTCTCCAAAGTCGGATGCACCCTAAGCATTATATTTGTGACTACAGGGTTACAGACTAGACTTCAACCTATACGTGCCGTCGTGGCGCGGTGCCGCGGCCACCATCGTCACCGACCCCGGCAGCTCCGTGTGGGGCGCCGTTTGGATCATAGAGAGAAAGCAGATGTATCGCCTTGATGAGTAAGTATTTATTTAACTACAGTTAAATAATTTAATTTGCTTCTCGTTAAGGGACAAATTTAGTAGTAAAACTGTCAGTATAAGAGTTATTATTTTGCAAGAATGTTTGTTGTAATGACAAGTTCAAGCGTTTCAGTAGGAACCAAAATTCTAAGTTAAAGCTGTACATTGAAATAATAGATTACAGAAGCAAGAAGGACGAAACAAACGAGCAAACATTGTACTACAAGGTTTAAATTTTATGGCGGCTTATATATATACTAAAATGCTATCCGCCTTTTGGATTATCATCATATAGTATCCTATACTTGATGTGAAATAACCATTGCTATCCATTCGCCTTTAATGTCGCATTAACATACTTTAGCGCCCGCATACGGGTTGCGAGATTTGTGTTAGCTACTGTAAAGCCCGAATGCGAGAAGTGCAGTATTCTTTACCGTCAATACTAGTCAAATGATTCGATCTTTCGATGCATGCTTTACATCGACCGATGAATTAAATTTGTCGTTAGCTTGTACTCGGAGACTCCACAATTGCGATATAACAACCGAGTTGATTACTAATGAATTTCAGCGACGAATCTGACAGTGGAGATATTCGGCAAGGACTGTTTCCTAGTATTTGTTCCTTATTCTCCTTCTTTTTGTTAAAGAATTCTCTTATTTTCATAAACAGGATAATCTACCGGTATATAACTATTCTTTGCATATCTTATTTAAATTTATCCGACAAGAAGACTCAATATGAGTCTTTTTTGTGTATTATAGGTTGAGTAACCAGATCAGTAGCTTTTTTTTGTTATTTTTTTCCCTTATCCAGATTTTATTTACATATTAATTCTTTCAATGAAATACCACAACCTTAAAAAGAGAGGCGTGAAGCAAAACGTCAATCGTTTAGGTAGTAAATAATAAGTACATACTTTTAAGATGTTATGAAGTTCTAAAGATCCTAACTCTAGACATTTCACTTTTCCGTTTTTTTTTACACTTTTTTTATTACTTCTTTGAAAGATTTTTGATATAAACTAAGATATAGGTATAATTTAAGACAAGAAGGTGTCCACTTAAGATGGTATATCCCAATAAATGTTACCGTCACCACGCCCCAAGAAAGAGACCTCTAGACATTTCACTTTTCCGTTCTTTTTTACTCTTTTTTTTCTTACTTTTTTGAAAGATTTTTGATATAAACTAAGATATAGGTTAAATTTAAGGCAAGAAGGTGTCCACCTAAGATGGTATATCCCAATAAATGTTACCGTCACCACGCCCCAAGGAAGAGACCTCATAGCACGGACTTACAGAGAAAGCATTCTTCTTCCCAAATTGAGCGAAGGTGAAACACTTCCACCGGCAAGGAGACCGTCAAATACTTACTTACAGGTGAGAAATCATTTAATTTAAAGTAACTGGTTATTCCCTCTCAGCTATGTCTAAGCAATATGAATATTGTCAAACGGCCTGGCATTTTGAGATATATTGGCCTCTAATCTTTTATTGGATGGTCAAACAATAAATGTTTTTCTACTGATGATTGCTAATTCCTAAGGTTAGCAATTTAAAATATTTTTTTTCTACTTTTCTCAGGTGATGATTCTAGGAGCGTATGAAGCTGGATTGCCCCCGCAATACATCGGATATCTGCACACGTTCCCTACCAACGGGAGGATTGCCGATAGCCATATACGAAACAAGCTCGGCTACCCTTTCAATGTCTCGTTATGATGCTCTGAGAGTAATTTAATGTAAGGTTTTGTTAAGATATAAAATTAAAATTCTAATTGTAAAGCGTTTGTAGTATATGTTGTGTAACTAAATCTATGCATAGGAGTAACCGTGAGTTTCCATTTATATTGTAAAGTCTGTTTTTATTAAAGAGAATGCGAGAGGCATCTTTCATTGTTATTACAAATATTTTATACGAGTGTTTTTGAATAAAATGTTTTATAGGTAAGAGGGAGGTAAAGAATTGAATAGTTTAAAGTGACGAGGCTGCTATCTAATAAATCAATAAAGTAAGGAGTATGTTAGTCTGGTGACAAAATGTAAATAACACCTTTAATTGCACATACGAATAGTGCGTCGGTACTATTTGCAATATGTAAAACTGGTTAAGGAGCACGATAATAAAAGCGGTAATTTAGTGTGGTGTGTAATAAGTACTATAAGTTAATACTTGATTTATGTAATAAAATATAAAACATTTAATGAATATTTTACTTATGCAAAAAACAAACGCAACCTATTGATTCCATTTTATTAATAATTTATGAGGCATAATTTCTAAGTATTGTCTACTAATTGACCTGATTGAGAATTTTAAACCTACATCATCATTGATCCATTAAACTTGTGCTATTGGCTATTTATGAGATGATGGAAGAACAAATGGAAAGAAATAAAGAATTAAAAGATAACTATAGATTTTTTATTTTTATCAAAATATATCAATTTGTATTAAAATTGTTAATGAAAACGATAAATCCAGAAACGTAATAAAAAGTTATTTTTATTACACAAGTCACCAATAGTTTTCATTTTCTTTGGCTTAAACATCTCATTATTAGTCCATAAAATTATTAAAAAATTCTCTCGCCTCACATTTTATATACTCTTTGCCATCAAATGTCAATGTCAAATATGTTAAATCTCGAAATAAATTGCCAAAATGTCAATTTTTATTTTTTGAATTTCGGTATCTTATCAGATATATGATATATGAAACATAAATACATCGCTTTGGCTTTCAACGATACTTTGTTACCTTTGTGCCTCTGGTGTGTATCGATGGATAAATGTGAAATAATTTTTACTAAACTGTAGCTGTGGCTGTATTTAGCATTCCAAGTTTAAGCAGATAGGCTTAATTGTGAACTAAAGCGGTGATGTACTTAAAGTCACATAAGAAGACGCCACTGTTCTCTATCTTTGTCACATATATGATGAAAATCATCCATCTAAAGGCAAATTATGTCATTGAACTATGCCTTTGCTTTTTCACTTTTTCTTCTTTTACTTGTAGGCCTTAATCTTTACTTTTTTTACGCCTTAAATACGACCGGAAAAAAACCTTTACCTTATACTCAACCAAATGTTAAATTAGATTTAGGACCAAGTGTTTTTAAAGACATATACACATATTTTAACTATTTACCTAAACAATACAAAACAAAAAATCCTAAATTTATAGAAAAACAAAGGGATCTTATAAGCCTGTTTAACTCTAGCGCGGGTACAAATTCAAAAGATGTTTTGTATGAAACTGAAAAGGTAAGTTATGTAATGAAAATATTTTTAATTAATAACATCATTTGATTATTTATTTATAATTTATCATTAAATGAAATGAAAAAGTAATAGTTTGTTTTATAGTATAATAAAAATTATTATTATATGCATCTTCATTTCATTCATTCATTCATCATTTATATTTTACAGTGGGTCAGTGATGAGTCTTTATTCCCACATACAAATGGAGCGCCAGGTCAGATACTGCAAGCAATACAAAACTCACAGATAGCACTGGTTGATAATGCACCAAAAGGGACACAACTTAAACTATTACTATTGTTAGAGGTAACTTATGTCCTGAGTCCTATTAAAAGTAAAAAAAAAACCAAGAAACTCCAGGGGAAGAAAATGGAAAAAAATGACACCTCACTTATCCCAATTGGTTATCATTTAACCTACAGAATATCCTAAGTCTCATATATGTACAAGAAATCTTGTTTGTTTTAGTGATAAATTTACCAAGCAGCATCTATCATACTCAAAGAATCTTAACTTAAAATCCTTTATTTTATTTTACAGGGTAAACAAAAACTTTACTTCAAGCCAAAGAGATATGAACTAGACAATGTAATAAAAGGCAAAATATATGCTGGTTATGATAGACATAACTCTGAAGTGTTTGCTTACTACTTAGCAATGGTCTTGAACTTCAAATGGATTGCCCCTTCTGTTATAAGAAAGATTCACATCGATAAAGACATAGTGCCAAAGGCAACTTTAGCTTTAAACAAAACTATGGTAAAAAATGGTAAAGATTTTTATTAATTTGTTAACAAATTTAATAGACAAAAATTATTTACATCTAGCAATCACCCAAGACTCCATGTGGGGGGAATTAAAAACAAACTTAGAAAGTAGGCTATGTGTTCCTCCAGACTATGTCCTACATCTATGCTAAATTTCAGTGAGGTTTGCAGCCATTCTAGACATACCTTCTAACAAACATCCATATAACTTCCGCATTTAAAATATTACTAAGGGTAATCTAGTATATCTGATTTAGTTAGACATTCATGATATTCCTTATGAATGTAATATTATGAAAATTTTACACTAAATGTCTGTTATCTTCTAATCAGTTATTATTAGCATTGGTATTTACTATATATAGACATTTTATATGATTACAGAAAGTGGTTCAACTTGTATTTATGGAAAATGTTTTTACTGTAAAAGAAATGAAACAGTATGTCCTGATCAAAATGGTGAAATAGAAGGCGCAGCGATATTATATTTGGATAGACAATTTAAAATACATAAATCACCCTGGCGTAGATCTTATACAACAAGAAAGATGGAATGGGAAGAAGATAATAATTTTTGTAAGTAAGTATTGAAATATACATAATTTTACAACTTGCATGTAAATAATTCCTTCAATTGGGAATAATTTACTCTTTTGTGATACCTTAAGGGCTATACAAAAACTTGTATCAAATTTTATAGTTTAAGAAATAAGCCATATGTATAAGTACAAGCCCACCTTTTTTTCTGTATTTTTTTCACATTGTACTTTGTTTTTTATTCTAAGTAATTAGTAATTTTTTAATAATTAGATATGTGTTGTGTACTATTGTAGCTTAATTAGAATGTTATGTTAACAAATGTCTTTGTTCATATCATTCTATGGTAAAAGATAAAAAAAAATGATCTTTAATTGCTAACTAAGCAAAACAGTACACTTGTGCTTACTAGCACTAGCATATTAGAAGCTATATGTTGTGAAAAATTAATAAAAACTGCATGATTTCTTGTCAATATCGTTATATTTAGTGGTTATGTATAAAATATTTATGTAATATTTTATAACATTGTGTAATATTAATAACTATGTTATATTATTCTATACATTTCTAGAAGTATGGAAGATTTGGGATGATTCACTTTACAATAAAATTAGTTGTCAGCACTATAGACTGAAGTAGTAACATTAGAATGTTTTCCCACTAAATCGTAAGTGCTCAATCACAACATATCCTGCACAATGATACTGTGCTACACAACTTAACCCATTTTTGCACTTTACGCATTTCATCATAATATGTAGACACATTCATACCATGGTTTTATCCATCATTTCTATATCTTTACAATTTATATGTGTTTTTTTGTTTTTAAATAACATTTTATTTGCTTTAACTTAGTAATGCTTATTATCTTTAAATGCCGGCAATGCATCTGCAGTTCCTCTGGTGTTGCAGATGTCCATGGGCGTTGATTACCTCGGTGTTCTCGCCGCCCGTTTGCCCACCTTCTCTAATAAAAAATATATGTTAGGGATTAGAGTACATTTTATTGTTATTGCTCATGGTTTTTGTTGTTTTTGTGTTGCCATCATATAAAATTTAATTGAACTTTGCGATGGAACATATGAATATTTAATGTAATTTCTTTTTCAGGAAAGTTATAGGAACCTTGAGTTTAAAGAGGATTTTAAATCTGATAGATGTGGCGGTTTTCGATTTTTTGATACAAAACGGAGATAGGCATCGCTATGAAGTATATAAAGACCAAATAGTATTGTTAGACAATGGAAAAGGTTTGGGAAACCCTACTGTAGATGAATTGGATATTCTAGCTCCACTCTACCAATGTTGCATGTAAGGAAAATGATTTTTTTTTCAATAAAAAAAAACGAATTGTTTGAATACTTAAAAATTTAATAACAAATTATACAGGTTATCTTCAAAAACATGGCAAAACTTAGAATTGCTTTCGGGTGGGAGTTTATCGGAGACAATAGAACTCTTGGCAGGGTATCAAGGAAACAAATTAGCTACGGAAGAACATTTTAAGGCGGTGGACCGGAGACTAATGAAAATTTATGCCACTGTGCAATACTGCATAGGCAAATATGGAAGCACAAAAGTACTCAAAAAAAATTAACTCAATTTTAGACATTTATATTATCTTTAAATCCTTAGTGAGAAATTTATTATTGTTACTATGAAATTACTAAATTATAAATAGGATATTGTACCTATTGTACTCTAGTTTTTTGTTAAATCTACCGTGATATGCATAAACAATTGTTACATAAAAATTGATATTGTTAAGGTTATTAAAAATAAGTACCATTATCATTCAGATTTTTATTCAATTATTCCTTGTCTGATTAAATCAATAGTAATCCTGCAGTCCAGTTAAACATCAGTGGGCCTATCGCGTATATTGCGACAAGCGCCATTGACCAAATTTGTATTGAAACGCGTGCAGCACCCTTATCGAGCCTAAAGAAAAAAAGAAAAATCTCATACTAATTTTGACATGAATGATAATACGAAGGCTTTTGTCACACATATCCGTGCTAGACCCACTGGAGATATAAATGTAATGGTAGAATTTCTTGGAAAACCTTTAAAAGGGGACCCGAAACGACACCATCGATTCCTTATTTGAGAAGAAAAAATCAAGTCCGATGTCCTTAAAATATAAATACGGAGAACTGATCGCCAACCTTCGCTAGTCGGAGAGGCACCTCAAGAAGAAGGAGAAGATGTCCTTAAAAATGGGTGTTTAGCGTTTTTCGCCATAATAGCAAGTTTTATCAAAAAATTACCTTATAAAGAGTCGTATATCGTAAAATTACTCTAATCGTTACGTAAAATTACGATTCAGCGACAATTCAGCGGTTTTAAAATTATATAGGTAGTTGCAAACAGTCGAAGTATTTTGTCTGACGAGATATTTTATTAGCAACACTGTCATCCTTCAGTTAATATCTGTCAAAACATAGTCATTCATTTTCAGTGATAATTTATATGATAACATTTGTAATTGACGCCACATATTTTAAATTTATTCCAGTTTACATTCACAATACTTCAGACTGAAGTTACAAATAATTTAGTTTTCGTGTAAAATGCTGCGTGATTTTCCCTTTTTATTGTAAATTTTAGTAATTAGACCAGACGCAGTTTTGAAACTAAAGAAAATGGTGACACCGGTTAGAGATACATTCCTTTACTTCGCCTATGGCAGTAACTTGTTAAAGAAAAGGATTCACATTAATAATCCATCGGCAATATTTTTAGGCATTGGGCGACTTGATGTGAGTATTTGATTAACTTAGTCAATATACACATAAACGTTTATCAGCTGATTACTAACATTTTGTCTTTTTACAAAATTACTGTTATCTTTTAAATTTATATTTGGCTTATCTACATGATGCATTGATTTTCATTGGTGTAATTCAATATATAAAATTCTAACAATTTGCGGTGTGAAATCTTATTAGTTAAATTGAATTAGTTTCTAAAAATATATACATCTTGCATAAATAGATATAATACTCACTATCCTCCTTTTGTCTAAGATCTATTTAGTCTTCTCCTTAAATGATTTCCTGTTTTTAAAATGTAATGGAATCAATCTTTCAAAACATTAAGCACACAATCAAACTGCTTTAATTACACACATTTTGGATCATGTAAAAGGTGTAATTCTATTGCAGGACCATCAACTAGACTTCATAAAGTACTCCGACCATTGGAGGGGAGCATCTGCTACAATTGTACCAACAAAGAGCCACCATGTGTGGGGAGCTGTTTGGAGAGTACATAACAAAGATCTCCAAAGTTTAGATTGGTAATTTGAGTTTTGTTCATTCAACCATACCATACATGGTACATGGCTTACAATGAAGTGGCACCGAGAACCATTTAACCATTTCATTTTATTTTAGGCAAGAAGGTGTGGAAACAAATTGGTATTTCCCAAAGACTGTCAAAGTTGTAACACCTGATGGGGCTGATCTTGAATGCCGTACATACCAGCAGACCATCAACCCTCCTCCTCGGGCTGAAGGGGAGGAGATACCACACGACAGGAGACCATCTATTACTTATTTAAACTGCATTTTAACTGGTGCTATTGAATGTAATTTACCTAAAGAGTACATAGAAATATTGAAGAAAATCCCTCATAATGGACAACAGGCTTCCCCAAAATTGATAGAAAAATTAGACTTGCCAACTTCTATTAATGAATAATCTTAAAAAATGATTTGTATGTATATAAGATGGATTATGTAAAAAAGTTTATGTTTTTTATATTTAAATATGCATTGTATATTTGTTGTGCACCTCCTTTGAAATTAAATATTGTTTGTAAAAAATAAATAAATTGACAGACAAAATTATAGTGTCATTATTTTTTATATCATGGCATGATGGAGTCTACCACAACAGAACCTAGCACAACATTATTTTTTGCATATGGGAGCCATATGTTCACAGTGAGAAATGAATTAGATAATATTAGAGCTGAATTTGTTTCCATCGCACGTTTGGATGTATGTTACTATACTTTACCATTTTTTTATTTATTTTTACAGACATTAATTTAAAAAAATTATGTATAGAATTACAGATTGGATTTCATCAGATATTCAAAGTTTTGGGGCGGACCACAGGCTACAGTGGTGCCCACAGCAAATGCTCAGGTCTGGGGTGTCATTTGGAGAGTCAACAAAGATGATATAGAAATTGTTGATGAGTAAGTATCATTTAAGTTATTTAATAAATTCCTATATTTTTATTAGAATTAAATAATTTTGTTTATCTGCAGGAACAAACAAGTCCATCTCAAAAGATATTATGTTACTTATACTGAAGTGAACACTCCTCACATGGGTAAATTCGTTTGTCGGGTTTATATACAGAAAATTAGTCCGCTGCCCCGAGGAGATAATGATGACATACCTGTGGAGCGATGGCCCTCGCGTTCTTATAAAAAAGTAATGATTCTTGGTGCAATTGAACACAACCTACCATATTACTACATTCGCAACTTAAAGAAACTGAAGCACAATGGAGAGTTTGGCTGCTACAGAATGGCCAAACTATTGAAATTATTTACAACCAGGGAACCTTGCACATGCACACCGTATGATCCAAGACGACCCAGGATATTGAATATGAAAAAGTTGAGAGAGAAGAAGAATGTTAAATAATTTATATCATTTTAGTTGTGAATTAAAAACTCTTCAAATTGAAAAATCAATTTTTATTCTTGAGATATTTATAGACCTTGTTCCTTAATTGGTACAAAATATATTTAAACAAGGGGCATTTTAGGATACATCGATATTCAAAACTATACTTGGCTAATTTCTGTAACTTTTTATTAATATAAATATTAAAATTATTGTTAATAGGTACTCGGTTCTCGTTAAATTAAATATAAAAATTATACACTATCTCAATCGTTTGGTGAAATTGTATCTAAATTGAGCATAAAGCACAACGCTACCCCGACACCACCCATCCGATACGATCCGATATACGAACACAACACAACACAATCACTCGAGGAACACATCATTTGGAAATTATTTTATCAGTCAATAATTTACGAATAACATAATTACTAAGAATGAGGTAACGTAACTGCCTTACTAGGTGGAAATCACAATAAATAGTAAATACTGATAAAGATAAGAGCGTAAGTAACAAAGGTAATTAATTAGTGAAGGCCGAAGGTAACGCTGTGTAGAGGCAACGTTGTGGGAGGCGCCCCGCCTCGCCCCGCCCCGCCCGCCGGCTGTACGGCCCCAATCATAACCTTATCATTAACTATTAACAAAAATAAAACATGTTACATTTTCACAAATTTGAGCAAAAGGCACTATGCAATTTACTTAATTAAAACATTTGGATTTACAACTTTGAAAAACAATTAAAAAATCGAAAGTTTATAAGTGGCTATCGAGAAAAAAATCCATGCAGCGTGCCTTGAGCCCGGAAACACCGCGTCTCGCTATCCATACTCAATCCACGATTACCAACCTATGTCATATTGCAGGCTACGGATTCATATAATTAACTATGATTACAATGCTTGTGAAATATGATTCTGTATATTGACGGAATTTCAACGGGATAAATACAATATTGTTCCAGCACTTCCAAATATGTTTGCGCGTGTGATGACACTGCACCGAGACAGCGCGGCCTCGTGCTCACCGCACATCATCGAGCTCGCATTCCATTGAAGGCTGGACTTTTGAAGGCACTCGTTTATACCCTTATACGATAATAATAACATTATATTTATACCCACATTAGACCCGGATTCAATCACGAAGCGGGATCTAATGCTTTAGGACTCGTGTGTATTGCTTTCTAATTTTGGTTGGCTATATTTATGTAACATGTATTATGTAGCTAATGTTGTATATTTTACATATATGACGCGATAAGTTAATTTAATAATTGTTTTAATATAATTATATAAAACAGCATAACATGTAAAAGTCACTTGGAGCATAATATGGGTCGCGCTTATCGACAACGTGGACGTTTTTACATTTTAATATCAGTTACGTCGTCGTCAGGTACTGTGCGATCTCGTTGCGACGTCGTTACGACATCGTTACGTCGGCCAATAATATATATTACATTATTACTAATAAGGAAATATATAACAATGATGCAAACAAATGTTCCGCACATTACAACAACACTCGATGCATGCGACGGCTTTCATTATTCAATAATTACATTAAGTAAGGTTAAATCACATGAAATAATAAATAATATTATATCTAGTGTAAGTTAACGTCTGCGCTGCACGATCTCAATGTACTAACAATATACAACTATGTTACAATAGTTCATTATCTATTGTCTTATAATTGATATAGAACACATTGTTTCAACGTTATTCTTGGAAATCACTTCGATATGATTGCGATCGAATTATTATTTATTTAAATTATTTATTATTATAAAATAAAGGTAATTTAAGTCATTCTAAATCATTAATATAATATTTGAATGCTCTATTTCAGCTCAATTACGATTTTATGTTATATTTTGAATATTGACAATTAACAATTTTATATAAAAATCGAAGTCGATCAACGTCAATGAAACGGACAATGAGTATTATAAATATACAAATATATTTGTTATAACATAAAGCTGCGCGAGCGACGAACTCGTGGCCGCAACATAATGTTCGCGACAACTACACAATTTTTACAGACGAATTCGCCGCTCGCGTGTAACCGAGCGCGCTGCAACAGAACACCGCCGGTTATATTTATTTATAACGAGAAATTAATATAATTTGTACACAATCTTATCGCTAAATCTATACACACTTTACACCTTACATTGTAAACTTAACAATAATAGGCTGCGGTCATAAATGACTTTCGATACAACTATATTACTGAGGTACACTATATAGGATCCACGTCGATATATCGACTTTATTATACAGCAACGGCGGAAATGTTCTTGTCCTTGATATGAAAGTGAACCTTCGTAGGTGGAACCGCCGCCACCTCTCACCACCTTTCACCATCTCTTACACCTCCTCGCTTCTAAATGCAACTCTCGTGCTTTCAATGTCATAAATGCACATTCAATTTTGAACAAGCACAAGCAGCATTGTATATTAACGTTATCTCTTCGTATTCGTATATTTTAAACGATATGTTTCATCTGAGTGTGTCATATGTAAAAAAACATAAATACATATTATTACTTCAAAAGTAATCATTTAAGTAAAAAAGTCTATGTAGTTTATACATATGTTATTAAGTGAATTTACAACTATATTACATAAAAGAATAATTTAATGAAACTCATTTCATATTTGATGCGGGCAATTTTATACAAAATATCGAACCAGCTCCGATGATCCATTGTGGTTTACTTACGATATTTTTCTTAATGTTTTTGTATTATTTTGTATAGTTCAATGTCAAAGAGGTGGTATATCTGTGAGATGTGGAGAGGTTCACGCGGCGGCCCATCGCGGGATCGAATCGAGCATACGAAATAAATAATACAAGGCGAACAATTCACTAGCTACGCTTACAACTAGGATTCGAAGAGCGCGGCGCACTGACTCGCCGGCCTGAGGTAGATAAGAGGCGCTGCCATTGAGCGCCCACCGCCCACCGCCTACCGCCCATCGCCCACCGGGCGTCGCCCACAGACACACAGGCAGCAGCCAGTGTCCCCCCTAGGCTAGAGGCGGGGCGGGGGCTAGCAGCCGGTGGTGTCGTCGAGGGGGTCCAGGGGGTCGAGGGGGTCGTGCAGCACGCCGTTGGGCCCCTTGTGCGCGCGCGCGGGCTGCAGCGGCTGCGCGGCGGCGTCGTCGTCCGCGCGCGAGTGCAGCGAGGAGAGCTCGCGCACCCACGTGGCCAAGCGCCCCGACACCCCGAACAGGTTGGAGCCCGAGCCCGTCGCCACCGCGCCCACGTTCACCTCCGCGCACTCCGCCTCCTCCTCTGCACACGTCACAACATTACATTGCAATACATCAACATTTCTCAACAATATTTATATTTTATCATATTGTAATTATCTATGGAATCAGTCTCATTTTTTAGATTATTATAAATAAAATTCTAGTGTGATGCTAACTATTGATAATATAAAATAAGTAATGGCGATTGCAGTATTGATGCAAACTACTAAAAGAGTAACATTGAACTAAATGTTACTACATTTTTACTATTCTCTATATTTATTTTATACTCCAAAAGCGTTATATTCGCTAAATTGTTACCAAACTAAATACAGCTAACTGCTGGCCGACATACTAAAAAGCTTCTAATAACCTAACAAGTGTAATCTAATAGTAAATAGTCAACTTTACTAGCGGCATAAATAAAATCAACTTCGACTACGGTCTTACGATGTAAATGTAAATAAAATACAGTAGCAGTAGCGATGTACTTTTGGTAAGTCAGGAAATGATAACAAGGTGCGTCCAGTACGTAGGTATGTAGGTAGGAACATGCACACGCTACTTACGGGCGTCAGCGCGCCGCACACACCTCGCCCGCTGCCACCAACACACAATCATGTTATACTTTGTTGTTATCATTTACTGAATACCAACACACGAATACACTAATTTTACTTTACATTGTATCCACTTGATTATCTAAGTTATACTGTTTCAAAGAGCTAACAAATTTTTATTTTTATAGATAATTTTTAAAGTGGATGTTTTGCAAACTACCTTCACAAAATATATTTTTTATCGGTAAATACTTTACACATTTTGTGTAATATTTGTTTGTAACATTATTACCTAAGTACACTTATCTTGAAGTTAATAATTAACAGTAAATTTATTTGTGTTGACTTTATATTAATAGTTTAACT